GGGGATGGTCACGCCGCAATCCCTTCTCCTCCATTCTCCTCTCGGGATTTTGGGCACGCACACACACGCGCCTGGCGTTAGTTTTAAGCCACCGGGTCTGGGACACAAACCGCGGTCGACTACGTGGGAGTCCAGCAACATAGCCATTACGCTAACTGCTGGTTCCCCAAACTGCGTCTTTTTATGAGAAGCGCATGGCCACAGAAGTTGCTGCTAATGCTTTGGGTGAAGAATGGAAGGGTGACGTAGTTCAAATCAGGGATGAAAACGGCAAGCAAGGTTTCCCCATGAAGCAGGGTGTCTTGACCCACGGCTGTGTTTGCCTGCTACTGAGTAAGGGACATTCCTGTCACAGACCAAGGAGAACTGGAGAAAGGAAGCACAAATCGGGACCAGCAGTTGGCGTAATGGCTATGTCACTGGACTCCTATGTAGTCAACCGCGGTTTGAGTCCCGGACCCAGTAGCTTCAACTCACGCCGGGCATGTGTGCATGCGTGCCCAAGATCCTGAGAGGAGAATGGAGGAGAAGGGATTGCGGGCGTGGCCATCCCTTCTGGGGGGTGATTTCTCACGTTCTGTCTCTCTGTCTGTCTCTGTCTCTCTGGAGAGCGCATGCGCCCTGTAGCAAAAACCTCTCTTAAAAAAAAAAAAAAAAAAGCACAAATCTGCCCGGGTTTGTACCGTGGATACCAAGCTGAGCATTCTCCACTTGGTTATTGTTAATAAAGGAGAGAAGGATATTACGGGACTGACTGATACTACTGTGCCTCATCGCCTGGGGCCCAGGAGAACTAGCAGAATCCGAAAACTTTTCAGTCTCTCTAAAGAAGACAATGTCCACCAATATGTTGGAAGAAAGCCCTTACATAAAGAAGGTAAGAAGCCTAGGACCAAGGCACCTAAGATTCAGCATCTTGTGACTCCCCGTGTCCTGCAGCACCAACGCCGGCGTATTGCTCCCAAGAAACAACGTACTCAGCAAAATAAGGAAGAGGCAGCAGAATATGCTCAGCTTTTGGCCAAGAGATTGAAGAGGGCTAAAGAAAAACGTCAAGAACAGATTGCAAAGAGATGCAGGCTGTCCTCTCTGAGAGCTTCTACTTGTAAGTCTGAATCCAGTCAAAAATAAGATTTTCATGAGAAAGAAAGAAATAAGATCAGATCTCGAAAAAAAAAAAAAAAAAAGAGAGAGAGAGAGAGAGAAAAAAAAAGAATCTTGCCCCGAAGGCTTGAAAAACAGGCCAGGCATGTGTACAACTGCCCCAGATCTCAACAGGATGGAGAAATGGAGGAGAGGGAATTGCCACATGATCACACTCCACTTGGAGGGGTGCTTCCTCCCCTGTCCTGCTGTCTGTGTCTCTCTGGTAAGCCCTCACACCCTCTGACAAATAGAAAGAAACAAGAGAGGGGGCCGGCAGGTGATATCGTGGTTAAGGGACTCTGGACTCCCACATGGCTGACGGCAGTTCGAATCCTGGATTTCTTTTTCTCTCTCTCTCCCTCTTTCTCACTCTGTCCCTCTCTGGTCAAATTTAAATTAATAATAAATAAGGTCAAATAGAATAATTCTGAAGAAAAAGAAAAAGAAAGAAACAAGAGAGAAGAGGCAGGATGAGACCTGTGTGATTACAGATTGCAGGCAGGGGGTGGGACACTTACCCCCAGCCTTATCGCCTCCAGCTCCAGCCCTTGCCTACCCTCATCCCTAGCTGAAGGAAAAGCAGAAATGACCAGAACTTTCCCAAGAGATGGGGAAACGGCCAGAGTGAGAGATGAATGTCAGAAGAAGCCGACCACTGACTCTCCTGTCTTGATCTGTTCACCACATTCTTCTTTTATTTATTTATTTTATTTTACTTTATTTTATTTTTTGGAGAGGTTTTTGCTATAGGGCGCGTGCGCTTGCCAGAAAGAGACAGAGAGACAGAAAGCGAGAAATCACCCCCCAGGGGGAATGGCCACACCGCAATCCTTTCTCCTCCATTTTCCTCTTGGGATCCTGGGCATGCATGCACACGCGTCCGGCGTGAGTTTAAGCCACCAGGGATTGTGGTGTGGACATCCCCCTTGCAGGGTGGTTTCTTGCTTTCTCTCTCTATAAAATACAGGAAATAAGTGGATAAATGATGACTTAGATTATGGATGTATGTGCTGGGAGGGAAATAGACTGATTAAACATCCATAGAAGGCAAGAAAACAAATTGAACCAGCAGTTAGTGTAATGGCTATGTCGCTGGACTTCCACGTAGTCGACTACGGTTTGCATCCCGGACCCGGTAGCTTAAAACTCACGCCAGGAGCGTGTGCGTGCGTGCCCAAGATCCCGAGAGGAGAATGAAGGAGAAGGGATTGTGGCGTGACCATCCCCCCTGGGTGGTGATTTCTTGCTTTCTGTCTCTCTGTCTCTCTCTGCCTGTCTGGCGAGCGCACGTGCCCTATAGCGAAACCTCTAAAAAACAAAGAAGGCAAGAAAACAAATTGAGGTCTTATTTTAAGGTATTTATTTGTTTGTTTAGCTTTTGGAAAAACTAAATCTATCATTTTTTTTGAGAATTATTTTATTTAACTTTCTTTCTTTTAATTTGACCAGAAAGGGACAGAGTGAGAGAGAAAGAGAGGGAAAGTGAGAAAGCAAGCCATGAGGTCTGGGACTCAAACCACAGTCGGTCATGTGGGAGTCTAGAGCCTTTAACCACCACACCACCTGTCGGCCACACAACAATCTCTCTAAAAAAAATTTTTTTTTTTTTTGGTCAGAGGACACATGTGCTCTCCAGAGAGAAAAAGGGAAGGAGGGAAAAAACATCCCGAATGGGGCATGGTCATGCTGCAATCCCTTCTCCTCCAACTCATCCTCTTTTTGGGATTTGGACATGCTCGCATGCCCACCATGTCTTTCCAGCTGCAGGGTCTGGAACTCCAACAGAGCATTCTGCCAGGTGGGATCCAGCTGCCTTAACCACCAGGCCATGGGCTAGACAACCCATATTCTTCTTTATTATGTATTTTGTTTTGACCAAAGAAGGGCAGAGTGAGTGAGTGAGAGAGGGAGAGAGAAAGTGAGAAAGCAAGCTGCCAGGTCCGGGACTCGAACCATGGTCAGTCATGTGGGAGGGAGTCCAGCGCCCTTAACCACCATGCCACCTGTTGGTCCAGCCCACCCATATTCTTCTAAAAGTGATACTACTAGAGACAGATGCTGAGCCCAGTCAGGAGCACCAATAGAGGCATTTCAGGTAAGACAGCCTGAGTATTTGCATCTTCTGGGATCTTCTTAAATACTCCTTATCACCGTTTATTACCACAAGCAGTTTCACACCCTCTTGCCCAGCCCACCCTCGAGAAGAGCATCCTCTGAGGATCGCTCTCCAGCCTCTTGCTGTCTTTACCCATCCTCGCTCACCTTTGAACAACGCAGAAACTGCAGGTTGCGGAGGGAGGGGAGAGTTGGATCCACGGGTCCTCCGCTGGAGCCTGTACCTTTAAGGACAGGGGCGTGGCGAGCCCCCAGAGGGGCGTGTCTGGGCGTGGCTTGGGCGGGGCGAACCGAAGCCAGCACCCGGCCCGCGGGGTAGGAGCCCAGGACGCTGCAGCGGGCGGGGCGCCCTGGTCAGTTGCCGCCGGGGGTGGAAGGTCGGGTGGCGCGGGCTGGTGGGCTAGGACCGGGAAGGCCGCGAGGTCCAGAAGGGCTGAGGCTCAGAGTTTGCGGATCCCAGACCCGGCTCGAGGTAAGATGAACCGCGCCTCCGGGGTACCCGCACACCCCGAGTACAACTTCTCAACAGCCATCCGGCTTAGGAAGCGGAGCGCAGAGACCTCCCGGGGTCTCAGCTTGGAAAGCGCAGCCCGGGTGGCCTGGCCCGCCGGTTCCTACCGAGGCTGCCAACCTTGCGAGCGCATGGCATTGCTCAGCCATGCAGAAGTCGCTCAGTAAAATGCTCGCTCGCAGTGAGTAAAAGAAATCGGCAACTGGTAGAGACGAGACACACGCTGATCCTCAGGAGCTGGGGACCCCAGGGACGCGAACTTTCATTGTATACCCGACAGCCAGCGTTTATGTCCACTTTACAGATGACGAATCCGAGGCTCGGAGAGGCGATGTGACTTCCCAAGGCCACGCAGTAGCCGAGACCGGTTGGAAACCCGAAGAGTCCGGTTCCAATTCTGTGCCAAGTGGAAGACAGTTCGAGAGAACCACTGAAGAGGGAAGAGCCATACCCTCCCAGTTTCCCGGCAGCAGGTGAGGGCTGGCGGTGGGACGGGCTCCCTTTCTGTCGTCTTCCTGTCCCGGTCTCTCCTCCCCTCAGCCACTAGGGCGTTGAGAAATGTCTGTGCAAGATGTGGTCAGGGAAACAGAACCATGTTGTTATTTCTGATTGCAAAGTAAAACGTGCTCATCCCAGACCCTGTGCAGCAGCCAAAAGAAGAATGTTAATTTGCCAAGGCCCTTTTTTAAAAATGTAATTGCTCTGGAAGGGACTGAAGCCATTTTTCTGTTGGTGTGGAAGGATGAGGCAGATCTGTCCAGCTCAGCTCGGCTGCTAAGGGACTGTGACTCGGAGCAATTCACTTCCCTCTGGGCCTCGGTTTCCCCACCTGGAGGAGAAAATCTGTTACTTTGTGACCACCTTGCCAGTGACCTTGGATTCATTACCTAAATCCCGGAGCCCCCCCCCACTTCCTCCTCTGTGAAAGGGGCGGGGCCAAGGTGATAATATCTCCACACTTGTCCTTAGGGCTGGATGAAGAGGTATGGTGGCAGTGGCTTAGCAAACAAGCCTGGCTTCTGCTCACCCAGCCTCAGTTTGCTCACCCGTAAAGCGGACGTACTACCAGCACCCGCCCCCTTTCCGACACCCTGCATTTTACTAGGATTAAATGAGGTCATCTCTGCAAAGCGCATATCCCGTTGTAAGACACGTAACAACTGCCTGGCGTAGTGGGTTCCCTCCAGGGTACCAGGCTAGCCTTTCCAGGTGGCAACTGGTGGCTCGGAGTGCCTGCTCACCCGCAGAAGCATGTGCTTGTTTATTAGTTTTGAGGCCTTGCCCAGTCCCCACCACTGCTCACTTCCCGAATTTAGGTCACCCAGCTGGCCCCTGGAGCCATGAATCTCTGGATCCCGTCCAAAGTCTCTGCCCCCTTCTAATTCTGATATTCTGGCCTTATGCTGGGGGTGCAGTAGGCTTTTGGGGAAACCTCCTAGAGGTGCTAGGGGAGGAGCATGTCTAATCTGCATGCAGAATGAGCAAGGGCCTGGGCTTGGGCCTCCACCCAGCAGGTGGGTGTCTGCGTTGGCTTTCCTTTGGAGAGGGGAAGACAGCAGGCAGCTCCTTCTCTGGAAAGGTTTTCAGACCCCTGTTGGTCCTGAAGTTACCAGGGACACTGTCCGCCCTTCTCATGCCCACCCCACAGGCCACTGGAGCCGCCAGCATTTGGAACCGAAGTATCGCAAAAGGGGAAGGCCGAGTGACGGCCAGCCCTTGGGGGCTGGTGGCCTGCAGGTGACGGAATCTACACCGCTTGCTGAGTACTCTGTCTGCCACCCATGGTGGAGATAGTGTCTGGGGCCTGGGGCCCAGACGCAGGGACCCACATTAGCCTCCGGTTTCCAGCTGCAGGTGTGAACCAGACAGCCACAGTAGATGTGAGTATCCAGACAGGAAGCTGGGGTCGGGCAGGGTTGCATTCATCCAATCCACAACTGTTGATTGGTCATCTGCTATGGGCTGGACATTGAGCTGGGCCCTGGGAGACGCCAGGGAACCATGTCAGCAGCAAGCTCCGCCCTCGGGCTGGGGGAGCAGACATCTCCTGGGCAAGGGAGAAAGAAAGAAATGTAAATTTCAGGTGGTGCTGGGCTAAGTGTCACTTCCCTGGGTCAATAGAACATGGTGGGGTCCAAGGAGGATCAATAGAACATGGTGAGGTCAGATAGAGGAGGGGAGCCTGGAGCATTTCCAGCGATTTCAAATGGGGCGATCACGGGGCCAGCAGATGGTGTAGTGGTTGTGTCGCTGGACTCCCACATGGCCGATCACAGTTAGAGTCCTGAACCTGGTGGTTTGAAAATCACGCCGGATACATGTGCATGCATACCCACAATCCCAGGAGGAGAATGGAGGAGAAGGGTTTGCTATGTGGCCATCTCCCCTGGAGGTAATTTCTCACTTTCTCTCTCACTGTCTCTGTCTCTCTCTTCCTTGGAGAGTGCATGCACTTTAAGGCAAAATTCTCTTTTTTTTGAGAGTTTTTTTTTTTTTTTTTTTTTTGGGAGATTTTCACTGTAGGGCGCGTGCGCTCGCCAGACAGACAGAGAGAGACAGAGAGACAGAAAGCGAGAAATCACCCCCCAGGGGGGATGGTCACGCCGCAATCCCTTCTCCTCCGTTCTCCTCTCGGGATCCTGGGCATGCATGCACACACTCCCAGCGTGAGTTTAAGGCACCGGGTCCAGGACTTGAACCATGGTTGACTACATGGGAGTCCAGCAACATAGCCCTTATGCTAACTGCTGGTCCCGGCAAAAGCCTCTTTATAAAAGAAGAAAGAAAGAAAAGAGAAGATTGGGTAGTAGCAGATGGCTCCTGTGAGGAGGAAGTGACCCTGGAGCCAAGCTCTAAATGGAGAGAGGAAGCTGCTTCTAGATTCTAACGGTAGAACATTTCCAGCAAAGGGCCCAGCAAGCGTAAAGGCCCTGACACTGGAGCAAGCTCCGTGCTTTCTGGAACAGCAAAGAGGCCAGAAGATACAGGCAGCTCCCCCTTGAAAGCCTGTCCCACCCCAGCCTGAGGCTAGAGTCAAGGACATTTCATGCGGTATTCAGGAACTCATGCCTCCAGGAACTAGAACAGGGTGAGCAAGGGGAAGGATGTTAAAAGGAGGATGGAGGGGTAGTGGTGGCCAGAGTACAAAAGGCCTTACACACTGAGATGAGGAGGTGAGAATCATTTTAGGACAGTATGAAGCCAGTAGCGGGTTTTTTTTGGTAGGTGTGTGTGGGTGTGTGTGTGCTTGCTTTTAGAGTGCTCATACTCTCCAGAGAGACAGAAAGCAAGAAATTACCCCCCCAGGGAGGATGGCCATGCCACAATCCCTTCTCCATTCTCTGCTCCAGATTTTGGGTATACATACGTGTGCGCCTGGTGTGAGTTTCAAGCTGCTGGGTCCAAGACTTGAACCATAGTTGGCCATGAGGACGTCCAACATCTTAACCACGATGCCACCTGCTGGCCCTGCCAGTAGAGCATTTTAAGCAGAGAAGTGGGGAAATCTGATTTATTTCTTCAAAGACTCTCTCTAGCCGCTCTGGGGAGAATGGATGGAGGGGGGAGAGAGTGGTAGCAGAGAAGGCAGTGGGGAGGCTCCTGCATCTTCCAGGCCAGAGAGCGCCGTGTAGGAGCTGGGGAAGGAGCTGTGGGATCTGGAATAAATGCTGGGGACATGGTGGGCAGGTCAGACTGGCCGATTAGGTGGAAGGACCAAGTGGTGGGAGAAAGGGAGGAGTTGGTGGCTCCAGGTTCCTGGCCTGACCCACCGGTGGCCTGGAGGTGCTACTGACCTGAATGGAGAGCTCCCAGGAGGAGCAGTGGAGACACTGGAGTGGAAGAGCTCCCAGGAGGAGCAGTGGAGACACTGGAGTGGAAGGCAGGAAGGCTTCCCCCAGGGCCACCGAGGCAGGCTGTAGGATCCACTCTCACGTCTGCAAGGGAACCCAGAGAGCAGATCCAGAGAGATGGCTCAGGATGAGCCCCTGGGTCAGATGGTGGTACAGTGGGAACATGAAATGACCTGTAAGCCAGCAGGTGGCGTGGTGGTTAAGGTGCTGGATTTCCACATGGCCGATTAGGGTTCAAGTCCCGGACCCGAAGACTGAGATTCAAATCAGGCGTGTGTGCATCCATGCCCAAAATCCCTAGAGAAAAATGGAGAAGAAAGGGTTGCAGTGTGGCCATCCCCCCGGGGGTTAGTTCTTACTTTTTCTCTCTCGGTCTCTGTCTTTCCAACGAGTACATGTGCCCTATAGCAAAAGTCTCTCTCTCTCAAAAGTAAAGTGATGTTCTTCAAGGCTGACCCACCTGGAAATGTTCCTGGTTCAAGTCCACAGGCCTCCCTGAGTATCCTGGGCACTCGTATGCCCATGATCTGGGCTGGTCGAAGGCTAGGGGGTATGGTGGCATTGCGAACCTATTAGAGGGGCTGTCTTTTTCTTTCTGTATCCTCTCTCTCGGTCTTCCTCGCTCATGGAAGAAAGAAGTCAAATTAAAAATAAATGAAAGGTGGCCCCTGGAGTCCCCTCCAGCTGCAGGAGCTAGAGTTCTTGCTATGTGTTTTCTCTGACAGGAATCCCGCACTCCAGCCCTTAAGCTGAGAGTTTTTGGGACCAGCAGATGCTGATGGCATAATGGCTATGTCGCTGGACTCCCACATAGTCGACCACAGTTCAAGTCCTGGACCAGGCAGCTTAAACTCACGCCGGGCGCATGTGCGTGCGTGCCCAAGATCCCGAGAGGAGAATGGAGGAGAAGGGATTGCGGCATGGCCATCCCCCCACGGGGGGGGGATTTCTCGCTTTCTGTCTCTCTGTCTCTCTCTGTCTTTCTGGCGAGCACACATGCTCTATTGCAAAACTTTTCTTAAAAAAAAAAAAAAAAGAAGTTTAGAGTTTCCGTGCCCACACCTACTTTGTAGGGCAGGAAAGTGCTTTCATGGCCACCCTCTGAGGCAGACAAACAGGCCGTTAAACCCATTTTATAGATGGGAAGGTGGTTTGTGGTTACTGTTTATTAAATTGCTGCCTCTTGGAGTGTGCCGCGAGGGGACGGGAGGAGTGGGTGAGCTGCGGTGTGCGGCAGGTAATCCTCCTGAGTCATCGTGTTCTTGGGCTGGCATTGTGCCCAAATCACTGCTCCTCCCGCGCATCCCCTGAGGTGGCTGTGACGCTCTCTGTGCCACAGAGGAGGATGCCGGGGCCCAGGGAGCTGAGGGTGGCTGTGCCTGAGTCTGGAGATTGTGGAGATTTCTTCGGCTCCCGTTTGGAGGTCCAGGGTTCAGGGACCACACCTGGTAAGGGTTTCCCTGTTGGTGGGGTCCTGAGGCCTGCAGGGCGTTATGTCATGAGAGACCAGAGTGCACGCGACTGTATCTATGTGTGTGTCATATAAACCCTCCGGGAGCCTGTCACCGGGGCTCTCCCCTGATCGCCTAATTATTCCAAAAGCATTACCTCCCACATCACTAGGTTTCCTTTTTTTTTTTTTTTTTTTTTTTGGGGGGGGGGTGGGGAGTTTTTGAGTAGAGGCTGGCACATGTGCTCACTGGAGAGACAGAGAGACAGAAAGCAGGAAATCACGCCCAGAGGGGGATGGCCTGTCTGCAATCCCTTCTCCTCTAGTCTCCTCTTGGGATTTTGGGCACACCCACACATGTGCCTGGCATGACTTTCAAGCCTCCAGATCTGGGACTCGAACCACAATCTACTGTGTAGGAGTCTAGCTCCTTAACCACCACGCCAGCTGCTGGTGTGTGAGGGGGGCACCCAGACTATAGTGGTGGCCGTGAGGAAGTGGTACAGCGGGGATGTGAACTTGTGGTTGCCCCATACTGAATCCAAACCCACTCAGGACCCCTCCCAGGTGGGTCCGTCTGTGTTACCACTACACCATCACATGACCTTGAGTCTTTCTTGATGGGTACTAACAGATGGAAAGGCTTTAAAAACGTTGTCTTCTTGGGACCAGCAGTTGGCATAATGGCTATGTCGCTGGACTCCCATGTAGATGACCGTGGTTCGCATCCCGGACCCGGTGGCTTAAACTCATACCAGGCATGTGTGCGTGCGTGCCCAAGATCCCGAGAGGAGAATGGAGGAGAAGGGATTGCAGCGTGGCCATCCCCCTGGGGGGGGTGATTTCTTGCTTTTGTTTCTCTCTGTCTTTCTGGCAAGTGCACGTGCCCTATAGCAAAAAACTCTCCAAAAAAAAAAAGTTTTTTAGAGAGATTTTTTAGCTAGAGGGTGTGTGCGCTCACCAGAGAGAGAGAGAGAGACAGAAAGTGAGAAATCGCCTCCCCTAGGAAGGATGGCCACACCGCAATCCCTTCTCCTCTCACTATTATGAACTCGACTGTGGTTTGAGTCCCAGACCCAGAGACTTGAGATTCATGCCACGCGTGTGTGCATCCATGCCCAAAATCCCTAGAGGAAAATGCAGAAGAGATTGCAGTGTGGCCATCCCCCCATCACACACCCAGTGTGAGTTTCAAGCCTCTGTGTCCGGGACTCGAACCACGGTCGGCTGTATGGAAGTCCAGCAATGTAACCGCTACACCATCTGCTGGTCCCTAAACATGTTGTCTTGATTCCCACATGTTTGGTTGCCTAGCTCACTCACAGACCCATGTGGACTTTGCTGGTCTGTATTCCTATTAGGCTGTCAGGAAAGTCATGATACGTTTTTGCACAGAAAAACACAGAAATACGTTATGGTTTTTCCAATAACCTATTACATTATGCCCTAAGTGACAGCCATCAGAGCGGGTTTGAGGAAGCCCACTCCATAAGCAAAGAAACCGAGGCCCAGAGACCTCAGGGAGCTTACAAAGGCCACGCAGCACACTGGTGGCAGAACTCCCTCTTAAACCCAGGGC